CCTCCACCCTCCAGAAGAGTTGTTTTCCTTCAAGGAGGTCAGCTGAAGAGTGGCAGACATGAGACCTAGGGAGCTCTGTTCAAATGCTGGTCCTCCTTCTGGAGGGCTGAGCGCTCCATCATCGGCATGTCAGCAATGACCAGGTCTAAACAAGCTGTGCTGTGGCCAACCACCCTCATCGCCTCTTACTGTCAGACAGGGCTGCTTCCAGCCCCTCAAACATGCTCCATAAATTCCCATTCCAGGCTCCACCTGGAATGCGGTCCTCTCTCAGCCATTTCTCTCTGTCAGCTCCAACCAACTTGTTGAGGCGCGGATAGAAGAACTCCATGAAGCCTTCTTTGATGTCCCCCAGCCCGAAGGGACCTCCGCTTTTCTAAATTCCCATGACACTTTGTGCCACTTGCCCTCTTCTTCTAGTTCACGTTACAGTTGTTTGTGAACATACCTCCGCTACAGAACTGTGAGCTCCCCCAGGGGAAGGATCATAGCCTACTTATCTTTTTATACCTTCTATTGATGAATAGTCAACCCTCAATAGATAATAGTGATAATCATATCTTACATTTGTATGGTTCTTACAGTTTACGAAGCACATTCACATCCATTTTCCCACTGAATCTTCACAACAACCCTGTGAGGTAGGTGTTAGCATCCCTATTTAACAGATGAGTAAAGAGGCCCCAAGAAGTTAAAGAACTGGCCCAAGGTCATACAGCTGGGAAGAGGCAGAGATGGGTCTGCAGGCAGGTTCTCTGACCCTAAATTCAGTTCTTTCAACTTTCTCTACCTGCGCTGTTGGCTAGAAATTCCTTCATGGAGACTGAGGTCATGGAACTCATCATGGGACTGGGGAAAAGGGAGGGGGAAGATCTAAAGGTCAAACTCCTTTCATCTCGGCTCTCTTTACTCCCCTCTCCCATGTTTCCAAAGAGGATTTCAGAAGGCAATCTCACTTTGTTTAAGAATGCCCTGGTGTGAGATGTCCTTGTGGATAAGAAGAAAAAATGTGGGGTGAAGATAGGACGGTAAGGTATATTCACAGCCGGTGATTAATGGCTCTTCAGAGGCCCCTGGCCTGTCCACTAATTTAATTAACATCTTGGATCAGGACACTGATGGCATGCTGATCAAATTTGTAAATGACATGATGCTGGTTTCAGGAAGATCCCAAGAGGCCATAATGAACCAGGAAAATGAAATGTTAAGTTTCATCATCAAATCTGTCAAAAACAAATGCTTAAGTGCAAGGTAGGAGAGACATGACTCTGTGTGAAAAGGTTTCAGGTGTTTGTGGTGCTTGTAAGCTCATTATTTTTGACACTGCCTGCCCGAAATGCTAATGAATTTGGGGCTAGGATGCGGGAGATTACAGTTGTGCTTTCTTCTCTGCTCATTAGACCACAGCGGAGGACTGTCTTGAGCCTTGGACACCACACAGGAACAGGGACGTTAGCAACCTGGAGCATGCACAAAAGAGAGAGGCCGGGAGTGTGAGAGGACATCAGAGTCATCGTATAGGAACCACTGGAACTGTTTAACCTGGAGAAGGGATCAATAAGGGGGATGGTGGTGGTTTGGGCTCAAGTTTTCAAATACTGGAAGGTTCATCATACGAAGAAGGAGTCATCTTGTTTTGCTCTAGAAGATGGGCAAAGGGCATGTGCTCTGGGAAAACATATTTTGACCCAACCTGAAAAAGAACTTTATGATAGTTTAAGATGACCAAATATTATGCAACGGTCTGCTTTGAAAGGACAAGATATTCCCATCACTAGAGGTATTTAAACAGAGACAAGATAACTATTTGGCAAGGAGGTTGCAGAGGGAATCAAGCATCAGATCATAAGGGTGAGGAATTAGGCAACCATTAAGTCGGCTTCTGACACTGTAATTTGGGGATTCAAGTCAAGGGTAGGGGTGGGGGCTAGAGGTGAAAATAGTTGAGGCCCTCAGAGTAGGTACCTCTTGGCTAGTAATTATCTTTGTTTCCAGCCTACCGTGCCCATAGGCTCCAGAAATATTTTTCTGAATACTTTATCATGAGACTTTCCAGCTCACGTATCATCAAATCCCAGAAATGCTAGAGGTCATCTGGCTTAGTCCTTTATCAGATGATTTGAATCACCCACGTTGAGCGGTTGTCCAGTCACTGCTTGAATATCTCTGGGGATGGCGAGCTGCCTACCTTTTGGGGTAGTCCCAGTCTCATTTCAGAGAGCATGACTAATCATTAGAAAGGTCTTCCTAAACACAGCAAAAATGCTTCTATCAGGATGTTGAGATTAGGAATTTTTTCTTCTCTGTTTTTGAAACTGTCGGTAATCAATTTTATTTTATTAAAGAATTTTTTAAATAGAGGTACTGAGAATTGAACCCAGGACCTTGTTCATGCCAAGCACGTGCTTTACCACTGGGCTATCCGCCCACCCCCCTGTTGATGTTAAATTTTAAAAAGACTTCAAGAGGCTGGAATCATGAGCCAAAACTTTTATTATCATTTTTTCATTATAAAAAAGAAAGAAAAAAAAAAGCCTCTTCCTTATGTTGAACCCAAATCTGCTTTCCTGTAACTTCTACCCATTAGATCCCGGAACCCTTGGAGTCATACACAGAATAAATCTACAGCTTCCTCTTCACCATGAGCCCAGTAATGATTTGCTGACAGTAGACAACCTTCTCTTGGGATTTGCTAGTCCCCTCACTGTTCTCACCACTCTTTCTCTGGCTATACTTTTGTTGACATTTCCCTTGAAGTGTGATGTCCGCACTGAACAGAGGGCCTCGACTGTGGTCTGACCAGAGCAGAGTAGCACCAGATGATCACCTCCTTTTTTCTGGACATTATACTTCCATTAATACAGCCCAAGGTCACAATATTTTCTGTAACAACCAAACTATACTTTTGACTCATGGCTCACAATGGGCTTTCATTTACTCTAAACCCCTCTAAGCCCCATCTCTCACTTCCTACAGTTGTACTGTTACATTTTGGAACTCAAACAGGTGACTTCATCTTTGTCCTTGGAAACTTTGATTCTGCTACAGTGAGTCCATCATAGTGGCCTCTTGACATCTCTATGAATTCTTATTCTGTCATCTCACATTTTGGCTCTCTCTCCCAGCTATGTGTAATTTTTCAAATTTGATCTAGCAATGTGAAAACAGAACCCCTTTGTGTGTAGTCATTCAACCAGTTAAGAATCTGCCTAGAATCCCCACATTTCTTCATATTGTCCCAAGAGTGTGATGAGTGAATGTTCCATTGAATGCCGGATACACTGTAGGTGTAGCATTCTCCTCATCTACCCATCAAGTCACCCTATCAAAGGAAATGAGCTGATTGGGGAATGATTTTTTTTTCTGGAATCTGTGCAGGGGCTGAGTGATCTCTGCCTTTTGGAAATGCTCACCAACCCTCCTTTTCATCATTTGTTCTAGAATCTTGCCCTCAATCAATATGAAACTCATTGATCTCCGTGAAGCGGCTGTGTGTTGTCCCCTTCACTCTATGTGGGATTTTCAAAGCCACCACCAGTTGTCCTGCAACTTGAGCTGCAGGTCATCACAATGCCTGAGGCTGTTATTGACCCAGACTATGAGATGGAGGTGCAGAGAGCGGCTAAGGGCTCCCTGGGACTGGACTGCCTTGAGGAGCCTGTCTCTGGTGCCCACTTTGTCCCTTCTACTCCAAAAATCCTTCTCCTTGCAGAAGACAAGGAACACAAGAGTTGCTGAGGAGGTTTTGTTTCCTCTCTGGAAGATCATTAGCCAAAGGAAAAGTCAGGGCACCCCATAACTCATCCAGGAACACTCAGAACTCCTCTGCTGTTCTGAAGACCACCACAGCCTACCTCTCCAATCTGATTTCCCACCATTTAACTTGAACCCTCTATGTGGATCAAGTCCGACCCCTCACTGCACCTCATGCATGTCTCAACCTATCTCCATGCTCTGGCTGAGGCCTTTCTCCCAATTTGGGATCCCCACTGTTCTACCCACCCACCCAAATCTCACCATAGTCTTCCTTGCAACTTCTCAGCCCCTTTAACCTTTACCATACAATTGAAGTCACATAGATTATACATTGCATTCATTTGATCATAGTTCAGCTTTGTCTTCCTGACAGTATGCACCTCAAAGGGGGTATCTTTTATCTCTCATAGTATATAAATCAGCACAGGGCCGGGCCTACAGTCCTGATAGCCATCCTTGTTTCCTCTGGATAGTTCCACAGTGATCAACCTCTGGCCTTTCACACCCACCACAAGTTCAGATCCCAAGATAGCTGTGTCCAGCTCCCCAAAGGACTAATAGAGAAACTAGATAAATCTAGGGATGCAGACTGGACCCAGTCTAGGCACCAGTGATTTTTGCAGTGTGAAATAAAATCCAAGTATATTCCCACCCTTCTTCAAACAAGGACCTGGGCTTTTTAGCGGGACTCAGGGCTGGCTGTCAGCAAGGGGGCCGAGAACACTCAAACCCCTCTCTGGGCACAGTGCTGACTGCCAATTCGACTGAAACCCTGCCTGCCTTGGAGGTCACTTCTACCCAGACCTTTCAAAGCTGTGAAGACCAACTGTAATCTCTCACTGATGGATCCTAAGCAGGATTGGAGCTGGGTTTGCTATGGCACCTTGATTTCTTAGAGGAGAGGCAATGTCTAAATCCTCCCCAAATAGAAAGCCTCCTAATATGGAGGTACACACAGACAGACAGACAGACAGACACACATACCCTAGAAGAGGAGGCCCAATTTGGTAATATCTGAGCAATCAAAGGATCCTAACAGCAAAGACTCTGAATCGATCTAAAATGGTCATGTAATCCAGCCCTCTGCTTTCAGGAAGATGAGCACCAGTGCTTCCCTTAGTGTCATTCATTCAATTCGGCAACTGCTATGGAGGACTTACTCTGTGCCGTGATCAACTCCTATCTCCAGCCAAGTTTGGCCCTGTGTCTAACTTAATCTTTCCCCCTCTATCCCTCTCAGAAGAAATGGAGACTAGATCATCAGCTCTGTCCTTATTTACGAGTTCCATTTTTGAAGATGCTATACCACACTTGTCAAACAGTAGGTGCTCCACAATGATTGAATGTTACCTCATTGGCTTCTTCCTTTCTAAATTAAAAACAAAAAGACAAAAACCCTAGTCCTTTGGTGGGTTGATTTTGCTCTTCTCCAGACCCTCTCCAGCTTTTCCACGGTGAGGAAAATGGGTTGACCGAGGGCAAGATCCCTTACTGTTCCCAAAGAACGAAGTGATACTAGGTAGAGTGGGGAAAGTTGAGGACTGTGGGAAAGGTCCCACATTACTGGCCGGCATTCTAGGTCTGTTTCTAACACTAACTGTGACATTGTGCTTTTCTGAGCCCATTTCCCCAATTATAAAAGAAGCGGGTTGGACTAGATGACTCTGAGGTTACTTCTAATTCTAAAAACTCAGACTCTGGTTACTTCCCAGCAACTCCATGCTATCTTATATGCTAGTATTCGCATTAGTTTTAGAAAGAAGGGAGGGAGGGAGGGAGGGAGGGAGTGGGGGAGGGGAGAAGGGAGAGGGTGGGAGGGAGGAGGGAGGAGGAAAAAACCAGTTCTACACTATGAACTCTTCCAACTCGTGACCCACCCTGACACCCTCCCCCCAGTTTTTTTCTTTTTGAACTAACCTGTGTCAAGTCAATCATTGCCTATCTCTCTCGTCCCCCACGTACCATATTAGTATATTAGTTCTCGGTTTTGGTCTTTGTACCACCTCGTGTTCGTCCCCTCTGAACATCCTCCTGTGGTGTTGGTTCATCTCCCTCATTTTGTCAGGGTCACTTTGAAAAATTCTATTCCCGGTTTCTGAGGTGTCAGCAACCCCGCCCAACTGTCACACTTGATGAGCAGACTCCTGGTTCAGTCCTTCAAGTCACTGAGGAGAATGTGAGACACCATAACGTTAACTCTGTGGAGCCCATTGAATCTGTCCCCCGGGGGTTGACAGGGAGCCACTGATCACAGTCCTGGAGAGAAATCGCTCCCAGGGCCCCAAGGGCTTCTCCAATTCTAAGTCACAAAACAGAAAACCAGTATCCCTGGGGAGGAGAGGGCCCCTGCCCTGTCAGTCACCCAAAGCCAGGGAGTCCACAGAGCTGATGCTGCACTGGATTCAGATACGAAAAAGGATTTCAGCATGTTAGAGGGCAGACCTCCTCCCAGCCCCTGGTCCAGGAGGAGGGCATGGTGGTGGCGCCGGTGGCAGTGGAGAGGCAGCGGTGGCGGTGGCGGGTGGCGCGGCGGTGGCAGCAGTGCAGCAGAGAAGGAAGTGTTATTTTTGCCGTTTCATTAGGAGGCCCGAGGTGCTGAGAGAAGGCTTCAGCCGCAGGAACCCAGAGCGTCGGGGGGCCGGGGGTGGGGGGCTGGGGACAGCAACCTGATTAAGATTGGAGAGGTGCCTGCCCGGACTTGTCTCAGCTTAAAGGCACAGGATGCAGAGGGAGGCTGCGATTCCCAGCCCCGCTGAGGCGCCCTACTGGGAGGTCGGTTGGGGCTGGGCCTGTGCAAGGGAGGCAGGTTGGGAGTGCTAACTGGAATTTTTATTTTTGTCAAGACACTGTGTTTAAAATTTTTACAAAGGACAAACTCCATGGGTTTCCGTTAGTGTTTTAAGAATTTTTCTTTAAAAAAAAAAGCCAACAACAACCAAAAAACACCGCCTTTTGGAAAGAGAAATGACAGACACAAAAGAGACTCTGGTAAAGAAAATGGGGCGAATTTCTGATAGCATTACCCCAAGGGCAGAGGCAGGACCCAGATTATACCCGGGGGCCCCCCTGATAATAACACGGCCTCCGCAAAACCTCGTTCGCCACATCTGGGGTCCCCTTGTCTAGCCAGGCCGATGTACCTGGTCTCTGGGGGCAAGCAGGTCTCTGCAGCCCTCCGCAGGCATACAGAGATGGCTGGGGAGTCGTCCCCTGCGGCCCTCCAACCCCATCCAGTGGCAGCCCCTTCCTCCTTCTACCCCATAGTCTTGCTCAAAACTGTTTCCTTCTTGGGGGTCATGTTCCTTGGTCGGATTGTGTGAGCACTGGGAGTTCCAGAGCCAGGGAGACCTGGGCCTGGAGCCCTCCCTTCCGGAGCCTCTCTGCTCTCACAGGTTGGAGATGCATTGGTTCCAAAATTTGTTTTTAAAAATCAACAAAAACAAGACCCAGAAAAAGACCAAGTCTGGGGGAGAAAGAGCGACTCTGCTCTTTAAAGCTCCCAAGTCTGGAGTTGGTCGGTGGTGCAGTTCCAAGAGAGGCGGAAGGTGAGCACCAAGGGAGTGTCCAGCTGGTGCTTCAGGCTCCCCAGGAGTGACTATGGTCAGGCACAGGAAGCCAGCTTCAGCTGCTTTTCCACAGGTCCTCGGGTTTCCCCGAGGACTCGTTTGCGTCCCCATTTGAAGGGTTTGTTCAGGTTCACTTGCTTATTTGTGTCATTGTACATGCGGGTGCATGTCCACATCTGTCTGTGTTTGTGCAGGTGGGTCTGCTGTAGGGTGTGGGGGTGTGTGTATACATATATGTCTCTGTTGGGGTGGGGTGGGGGGGAGGGTGTGTGTCTGTGTGCGCGCGTGCGCATGTGCGCGTTCGTGGATCTGGGCGGGACGGAGCCGGGATATAGGCTGCGCTCTGGGCTGGAGCTATACCCGGGTAGTGGAGTGTGAGTGGGGCAGCCCGGTACTGTTGAACCCGGCGGCGAAGGTGTTATAGGGGTGCAATGTCTGCAGCCCCACCAGGGAGTTGGGGATCATAGTGATAGTGTTGGGGGTCATGAGTGGGATGTCATCCGGGGAGCGCCGCAGGGTCAGCGTGTAGTCGGGCAGCGCAGTGAGGCGCAGGGTGTCATGGGGGGGACCCGCCTCGCACTCGTGGTGGGTGGGGCCCAGCTGCAAGGCGGCCAGCTCCTCCTCAGGAGCTGCTCCCAATTCAGGGGCCCCGGCTCCCCTCTGAGGGCTCGGCTGCCGCAGGGGCTCCTGACGCCGCTTGTCCTTCCGGTAGTAGAGGGCAGCGAAGGCCAGAACGTTAAGGAACAGGAGGGAGGCCCCCACAGCGATGGTGACACTTAATTCAGTGGAGTAGTCACGAGGGTTCTCCACCAAGAGTGGCCCTGCATCCTGGTCCCCATTCCAGGACCCTTGGGCGTTCTCGTTGCTGTAGGCAGGGGAGATGGCTGGCCGCTTGGTGCTCCAGGTCTTGCCGTTGGGCCTGCGGGTGATGTGGGAGCTGTGCGTGGTATCCGGGGGCGGCACTTTGGTGGTCGTGGACGTGTAGTGGAACATGTCATGCAGGTTGTATAGGTGGGGCACCAGGTGTTTCCAAAAGGCCACCTTAGTGGCCCGGTAATGATCGCGGACCCTTGGCTTCAGCCCGATGTGAAGGTAGAGCTGGTCTCGGGGATTGTATTTGGACCAGGCCACTTCCTCAAAGCGGTTGGCCTTGGTGTGAATGAACTTGGTGTCCTGGGGGACCGGCTTGTTGGGATCCCTGAAATACCACATGGGAAATCTGGGGTCACTACTCTACCTAGATGGGCAAAGGGCCTTCCAACATTCTTCCTCTCCCACCCAGCCCTCAACCTCTTCCCCAGTCCAAAACTTCCCACCATTTCCATCTTTTGCAGGGTCCCTCCCTCTGTCCATACCCCTCCTCTTCCCCAGGCGTTAGCTCCAATAGCCCGTGGCATAATGGAAACCATCTCAACCTTCCCTGTACCCGTCCTGTAAGATCAAACTATCGGACTCTCACATGCTACAGAGCACCCGTCAATCTTCTCAGCTGCCCAGTTTCTCCAATAACCCTTTAAAGACTTTCTTTACGGAGGGAATGGGGGAGATAATTAGGTTTATTTATTATTATTATTATTATTATTATTATTATTATTATTATTATTATTATTATAATATTTAATGGAGGTACTGGGGATTGAACCCATGACCTTGTGCATGCATGCACTTTACCACTGAGCTATACCCTCCCCCGCTAAAGACTGTTTCTGAATGGAGTTTATTCCCACTTCACAGGGCCTCCAACCATCTAACCTTGAATCCCATAGTTCTACCAGTAACTCTCACTCCTGCTTAGTCCTAATGCTAACCGAGTTCTAAGCCTCAGCAAAATTTTGGGGGGAAGAAAACGACATGAAAGACTCAAAAGGGGCATGTAAGAGGTGGGAGAAGGGTTACCAATCAAGATTTGGGGACTGTCTTAGGAAGGGAGCTAATGGAAGAGATTTAGATAGAGGAGCAGAGGGGAGGGTGTGCTGGGGTCTTGAAGAAGAAGAACTACTTTCTCCTTACCCGGTCTTGGCAAAGTTGGTCCAGTAGGTCATGACAACAGCACTGAGCATGACGTCGTTCTTGGAGAAGTTGCAGGGGAAGAGGTCAGTGGGGCCTACCATGGGGACACCAAAAACATAGGGCACTTCATCCCCATGAGCTGCATCTGACCAAGCCGGCTTCATGAGGCTCTGGCAGTGATGGTAGAAGGCGTAGAAGTAGGTGGGTGAGCCGTAGCGAGCATGCAGATCAGCTGTCACCACTGAGGGCTCCACCCACTGGTGGTCAGTGAAGAGCGCCACCAGGGTTTTCCGGCGGGTCTCAGGATTGTCCCGATCTGCCCAGTCTGTGTACATGAACTTGATGGTCTCCCGCAGAGTGTCCTTACCCTCAGGATAGCCATACAGATTGTCCACAAAGTTGGAGACTGAGTAGTCAAAGTCGGTGCCAGAGACCCCATCCTCAGGGTCCACCACCCCTTCCACAAACTTGAGCCCCTCACCCTGGTTGACACCGAGCATGATGTCATAGTTGAGGAACTCGCCCTGTTCCATGAGAATCTCAGGGTCATCGGGAATTACATCTCCATCAATCACGGGGCCGAAGGCCACGTGGTAGCGGGCTGGCTGGATGTCCTGCTCCACCAGCTCCTTAGCACTCTTTTGCCGAAGACAGTCCACCATGTCCACTGTGTCAAGCACGTTACAGCCCACTTTGTCCGCCAGCAGGCTGGTGTATTTCACTGGTTGGTAGTTTACGGCCCAGCTGGACAGAGCAGAACCGCTCTGGATAATGGCCCTCTGGAAAAGCCCTACAGAAAATCGGCAGCACCAGGTCAGATCTGTCATGTCACCCACGACCCAGCCCCCCCCCCCGGGCTTGTCCCTGACGGACAAACCAGATGGCTTCTGACTCCTCTGTTACCAAGATTGCCCTCTGGGTTGAACGGGTTGTGAAGGAAGAATAACCCTTTTGGCCGGAATGATGGGTGAGGACCAGAGGAGGGGTTGCTGGGCCCCTTTCCCGACTGGTTCCTGCCTGCTTCTCGCTTCCTTCTTCTGGGGTGATGGTTGGTAACTTGGGGGTTAAGGACATGCCAGGAAGAATTAACCCCTTGAGTCCCAGACATCAGCTTCCTGATACTCCCTCTCTTTATCTCTCCTTGTCTTCCCCTCTTGCTTCCTGCCCAGCTGGGCCCAGCTCTGTGCCAGCACACCACCAGGGAGCTGGCGCTTCCACCACAAAGGGGTCTTTTTCATGAGAGATGAGAAATGCAGGCAGGAGAGAGCCTCACATGCTGGGAGTTTGGGGAAGGAGTCCCGAGGGCAAAGGCCTTGTGGTCTGAAAGTCTCCAGGGAACCTGACCTCCCAGTCCATAGTCTCCACAGAGAATTTGCTTTTTCTGAAGCTACTGCTGCCTCAGATCCATATTTTCCCCTCACTGAGAGGAAGCCAGTCCCCCGAACTCAAAAAGGAAATGATTCCTCCCCGCAAGGGAAAAAAAAAGGCATCATTCTCTCTCCGGCCCCAACATTCCCAAGGAAGGGAGAATCCAGCACTCAGGTGCACAGTTCTGCTCCTCTAAGAGGAAGGCGGTGTGCACAGGTGAAAAGATGGGTAGAGAAATGTAGATTACTACTTAAGAGAGCCTCACTTTTCAAAAGATTATTCTCCATTGATCAATTACAGAAAGACAGAGAGAAGAAATCTTTAAAGCAGCAGGGCTTCCAGGGTCACAGGCCCGCTGTGAGACAGAACAGCAGCACACCGAGCAAGGCTATCTCCTCCCAGGGAAATAGAGCCTCACAGAGGAGGCACCGTTCCTCTTTTCAGAGAGAGAGGCACCCTCATAGCCAGCCACTCCACCCTCCTCTGTGGAAGAAAGAGATTTCCATGCTCCTGCTGTCACCTAGGAGCACATTCTAATCTGGGATGTAGATCCTACATCCCCTACATCCCACCTTAGGCTTCTCTCACCAGGGGAGTCCCTGGAGGGACTGAGATAGAATTTCTAGGTCAGAGAAGGTGATTTTTCTTTCTCAGAGAGACAGGCCTTCCTCAAAGAGAAACTGCAAGTCTTCCTGTGAGACTATCTCGATCTCCTAAGGTTGATCTCAGTGAAAAATCTCCTGTCTCCCAGATTTCCTTACTTCATAGAAGGGCACCTATTTCGGGAAGATCTCTTCTTTGTGAGAAGCTCAACTTTGCCTCTCAGAGATCAAGAGTGCTCTGTAGTCCAAAGGTGAAGAGAAGACTTCCTGCTTCACAAAAAAGGGGTCTTGTTGGCCGCTTTGGAGGGGTCACTGGCAGAGGGACCCACAGCAAGGAGAGAGGCTTCCCTTCAGGCTAAAAATGAGTCTCCCTTGGTGTGGGGTCATACTGCCATGGCGGGCAGATCTGGAGTCTGATCAGAGTTACCCATCCCTCAGAGAAAGCCCACTTGCAGGTTAGTAATCCCTACTTCGGTCCTACCTCCCGCGTCAAGGACAGTCCCCTACTTGCACAGACTTGTTCTTCAGAGAGAAGGGCAGAGAATGAGTGTTTCTTACACCTAAAAACTAATTTTCACTCTAGATCACTCCCCAAAGTCACGTGTCCTTCCCACACAGAAAGATTTCCCCCGCCCCAAAAGAGCCATTGTCCCCCCAGAGAGAGACATTCTACTCCCACACTCCTAAATAAGACTCCGTTAGAAGGACAACCCTCCTCTCTCAAGAGGTAAATGGGGTCCTTTCCTTCGCTCTCTCACACTAGGAGAATTATGTCTACCCCTAGAGAAACATTTCCCCTCCACTTCTACCCAAAGAGATACCCAGCTGGCAGGTCAGGGCTACTCATTCCCCTGGATGCTCTGAGGACATGGAGCTGGGCACCCTGGATCCTCAGGGCGGGCAGCCAGCACTTGGCTAGTTCGTGTTTTGTCCCAAGAGCTACTCACCCTCAGAGTGATGTGACAGCGTGAGGAGGCTGACACAGGACGCGCCGATGCCTGAGCCAAAGACAGTAATACGGCGGGGATCACCACCGAAGAAGGCGATATTCTCGCTCACCCAGCGGAGGGCCTGGATTTGGTCAAGGAGCCCATAGTTGCCCTTGGCGGCCTGATCGCCAGTGCTCAGGAAACCTGGATTCAACAAAGGGCATGACGGTGAAGGCGGAGGGATGGAGGATTTGGACGACGATGGCAGTCAGGGGCGTGAGGACAGAGGATGAGCATGCAGCATAGTTCTTTCCACCGAGCTATTGTTAACCATTGCTCTTTTCTGCAAGGTCCAGCAGCATCACTGTAAGAAGGGTCTTCTCCCTACCTCCCACCCATTCTCCAGTTCAGAAGGAGGGGTCACCAGACCACTCAAAGGGGATGCCTCCAGGTGGGAGACAAACTGCAGGAAATGCAAATGGCCAGGACCCAGCATTCCCTGCCCTGATGTGTTAGCCAGGACCTTACCCTAGCACCTGGCAAGAGAGAGGGGAAAGAGCAGGGACCCTGGAGTCAAATAGTCCTTGGTTTGAGTCCTAGCCCTACCACTTCTTGGCCATATAGGTTTGGGCAAATTATTTACAATCTCTGGGCTCTAGTTCCCCCTTCAGTGAAATGGGGATAAAATACTTCAAAGGGGGAGGGTGTGGGTATAGCTCAGGGGTAGAGCATGTACTTGGCGTGCACGAGGTCCTGGTTTCAGTCCCCAGTACCTCCATCAAGGGAGAAAAAAAACACTTCAGAGGGATGTAACAAGGATAAAACCAACAGGAACATCTCTAATATGCCCAGCATATTGTAAATCTATAGTTACTTCTCTCTCTCCTTCCTTTTCTCTCTGGAGGAAGTGAAGATCCCAAGAGGCAGCAATCCCTAAGCTCTCCTTGCCCTTCCTGTCCAAGTTCGTCCATCTCCACTTCCTTCCAGGGCCTCAGATGCCCCCTTCTCCTCATTCTCAGGGCAGGTCCTCATCTCCCCCGCCTCCAAGACCTAGTAAATCAGAAACTTTGGGGAGGGGACCCAGCAGTCTGTGTGTTTAACAAGCTCGCCAGGTAATTCTGCTGCCTCCTCAAGTTGGAAAACTGCTGGGTTAGACCATCTTTTTTGTCGGGTGGAGAAATGGGGAAGTCAGTGCAGCACGTTACCACAGAAACAGGTCTTCCCGCCCACCCACTGGGATTTGCTGCTGAGGAGACATGTCACCATGGAGACTACCTTCCCACCCACCTGCTGGGATTTGCTGCTGTGGAGACTTGTTGCCATGGAGACTACCTTCCCGCCCACCTGCTGGCTATCCCACAGAGATGTCCTATATTCCCCCCCCCCCCCGCTTCCATTTTAGTCTGATCTTGCTGCTTCGTTTCATCTCTCTTCCTTGATCCTTCGGCTCCTTGGAAGGCTCTGTCTTCTCCTGCCTTAGGCTTTCTGAAAGGTTCTTTCCAAGTGGGTAGTTGTGGCACTCCTATGCACTGGAAACCCACACCCAGGTCAGTATTTTTTGACTCCACACTTAAAAGCTCATTCACGGCACCTGGGATCAACTTTGTGGGAGGCCACATTTGAGGAGGCTCCCTCAGCTCACAGAGTGTTCTCTGATGGTCCTGGCAGTCCACGGGGCAGAAGCTGAATTCAAACAGACTCAAGCAGGCACAAGACCTCATCACTGTCTTTCTCAAGTCCGTCTGTTTCTAGCTTCTGCAAAAGAGCTCATTTCCCCCTCTTCACGTGTGTTATTAATTTACTCTTGGTGCATTTAAGTATGTAAAGTACTTAGTTATTCCTCTCAGGACCTAGTCGCAAGCCTCTTTAGCCCCAGGTTCCCGATGAGGGAATGAGAAGGAATTAGAGAAAGCCTGAATGAGGATGAACGGTGGAGCCCGTGTTCCTCTAGACAAGGGAACCAGCTTCTCCTCTGCCTGGCCTGTTCACAGGCTGACGCTGCTCCTGCAAGTCTGAAAAAGTGTGCTGACCGAGATCCAACCTGGCTGTCCAAGCCTTAAGACCCTCCAGCAAAAATCACTACGTGCTTCTCTCAGCCTGCCTGTCCTCCCTCCCGCCTCTCTCCTTCCCCCATTTTCTCTCTTCCTGTTCTCTTATCTAGGCAACAGCAGACTCGACTTCAGCCTTTGCCAAGGTATCATTCGGTGAAATGTGTCAAATATGTCCATCCTAATCAGCAGGTAGAGCCTGCATTGGGATGTAGTAAAGTCGATTTCTCTGACATGTACCAATTTTCTGGGTTAGGAACAAAGGCCTGAAAGGGCAGAGTGGAGGATTTAACCATCACTCTCTGCTCTCTCTCAGATCCCACAAACCTCGGGATAAAAGGCACTGAAGTACGTGGATGACGCCATGTCAGCCATCTTGCTACAAGCATTCTCCTTGAAGTGCTCTATCCAACAGGCTCAGGTGGACGATAGAGCAAACCCCACTGACCACAAGCACGCAAAACCTGGCAGTCTGGGAGAGCAGTCACTTGCTGCTAGTTTCCCAGTAACTCAGCCATCGACAGAAACCATGTGAGAATGAGGGCTGAAATACCAAACTCCAGAAACTGTCAGAGCAAATCTGAGCCAGTCTTCCTGGACCCAAGTTTCTACTGCAGTACATGGTAAGCTTCTTGTCAACAGAAGACAGAGGATCTGGTGCACTGTAGCAAAACCAGATATCTCAAGGCTTGATGTTGACCAGGTTTTCAGTTTGCCTGAAGGGTACCTGAGCAAGGACGTAGTATCAAATTCCAAAACCCGGAATAAAACTTGGCAAGCCCCTAATTTCTCAGCCCCAGGGATAACCACAGCCTAAATCCTGCTGGGGTCCCTTTCTTTTGTGGGTCTCAAGGTGTCGGGGCATCTGAAATAATAGCCACCCCTCTGCCTTGGACGGGATCCACGGACTAGCCTGTGGCATTCTCCAAATACATGAATCACCCAAGATGTCTAAAGAAGCTCCTTAGAGGGAACCAGAGAAGCTCAGGGCTCCAGAGAAGCTGTTGAGAGGGAAGGTGAATGAATGCATATAATTGAGGTCCAAAACTGGCCACCTGTTCCAGGATGTTTTGGGAAACAAAACAATAAAGCCTCAGCTATACAGCAAAATCCCCGAAAGTCAGGGCAAACCCATCTTCTATATCTGGCTCCAAGAGACCAAACCATCTTGTCTGGACCTAGAATCCAATCAAGGGCTTACTGATTACATTTGTGTTCCAGGGCAGGCACTGAAGGGGACAGAGAAAGTGGTGGAGAACTTCTGGCCAAATCTCGGTTTATGGCTCCTTCTGAGGTTTGGGTAATATTATTTTGATTATTAACTATTTAAGCCCAAAGAATAAAAATCCTGCCCCAAGATGTGCTGTTCGGGTTCTCGAAACGAGAGGAAGTTGTAAGGGGGCGGCAGTGGTGGGGTCTCAACCTGAATTTCATGGATGAGTTTCAGTGGGATATTTGTGTGCGTGTGCGTGCGCATGTGCATTTTTCTAGGGGAGAGTCCATAAGCTTTCATCAGAATTTTCAAAGGGGTCGAAGACTCCCCCACAAGTTAAAAACTTCTGATATACAAGCTTAAGGATTAGGGCAGCTGAAGGGTTGTGAAGTAATCAGCAAACCAGGATATCATTTCTGTACGGCTCACAGCTCCCAACTGACACTTCAGACCCTGAGTCTCTCCTCTGCCTCTTCCTTGCCTCCTTCCTCTGTGTCACTCGTGTCCTCTTTTCTCTCCCCCATCCTTTCCTTCTCTTCCTTAGTTTCTCTCCTCTTTTCCCCGATCCTCTAGTCTCTCTTTTCCTTCATTCCTGGTCTGATCATTTGGAACTGAAGCATATTCTTAGCAGTCTCCGCGCTTTCCAATGATCCTTATGACATGGTGCTTTGTATTGTTAATTTTTTTTCCCTTGAACTGATGTGGGAATAGATCCCACTTTTGAAGAAATCTGAACTGTTTTGTGAGACTACGGTGAAAGAATCCCGCCACCCCCATCTAAGCTGAACATGCACTAGGTCTGACTGACCTTGGAGGAGACGGGGGTCAGGCCCAGTCAGGCCCCGACACACTCATGCTCTGGGGCGCAGACCCCCAGCCGTGCAGGCCTTACCCGCACTGGGGGGACGTGGGTCATCACCTGGCCCGCAGTCCTGTACAGCTTTCAGTTCTCCTGCCACGCCAGGCCTGATTCACGTTTGGCCCAACCCTGGGGGCTCAGCCGGACCCGCACAGTGGCTGTATTGATAATTTTTAAAAGCAGCTGAGTTGCACATTTTCTATCACTTTCATTAAGAAAATAAAGTAACCACATGGCTTCTGGCCTTCAACTCCCATGCTCATGTGTCTGTGTATCTAGGTGTGATTACATTTGTATATTCACTACTCTTCAAGAACTGTGCAGCCCTAGCGTGTGGGTTTGCAGCCACCTTCATGGTACCATTTTTACTGTTGGAGACTCAAGACAGAACATGTTACAGGAGCTTTGCCATGATGTCTGGGGCAACTCAGTGAGACAGACGAGCAGCAGCAGAACCCTGAAACCCAAAGCCCACTGGACTGTAGTGAGACCAGGGAGACGCCCCGTGTACGTCACACCCAATAGCCAGACACCCCTGAAGGGGACGCAGGCTCCACTTTTCTCAGGGACTATCCTTTCTCCAGCCTGAACCCCCAAAAGATGTCCTGCTATCCCACATGGCATTATGGGGAAGTCAAGAGGAGATGGACTTTCTGCATACATAATTGTACCCAGAAGTGAAACGCAGCTCCAGGGCCCCTGGGATTTGAACTGGCAAAGCAACATACTCAAAAGCAAATTAAAATAAGGTCCTGTCAGCCAACCAGCCCTGGCGTCAGCCAGGTCCAATTGCTGGTTCAGACCCCAGGCCTGCAGACCTGACAAACCGCCTAGACCTAGACTCCCACCAGGACTCTGAGGACACCAGCCCTCTGGGCAAGAAGTTGGCTTCTTTTTGCACCACTCCAAGGGCTACGGGCCGTGCGCACCCTCAGCGGCCTAGGTGGGCATCCGGCAGGGAGCAAGGCCCTGTGTGCTTAGTTGCTCTCTCTGAGGCACTGGTCTACCTCAAGGCCTTGGGCACAGTTAGGAGTTAACAGTTACCAGGGAAGGCACAGGCTAGTGGGGCAGCCTAACTAAGCATATATAATGACGAAATGATATATAATAAGCATATATAATAATCAAAATAAGCCTGTGGGTGACAGAGTATGTGTGGGGAAGGGCATGTAGGTGTCTGTGAAGCCTTTGGGAGATAAGTGTATAGGGGTGGGCGTGCATTTGTGTGACAGGTGGGAGTGTATGGGGATGTACGTGTGGAGAGAGTAGAAGATGTGCAGTGTGTATACCTGGGGTGTGCACGAGCATGGGATGAGTGGAGGTGCGTGTATAGGTATGGATGGCCAGGTTTGGGGATATGGATACGTGGATACATAATATATTTGTGGGGTAGGGAGGGGGAATATGTACATATGTATGTATTGAATATATATGTGCCAAATATTTTTTGGAAGAATGTGTGTATGTGTGTGTGTGGGAGGTACGGGGGGGGTGGTCTGCGGGTGTGTGTATATGGGGGATATAGAAGTGTAGTGCATGGGATGTGTGTGTAGATGTGGAAGCAGGGATAGGAGTTGTGTGGGGGTTGCTTTTGTATATTGTGTTGGGGGGTGTGGACATGCAGGTATGAGTCCTGTATGTCTAGGGAGGGGGGATGTTGGTTTTTGTTTGTGTGGGGAAGGTGAGGGACATCTGTGTGTATGTAGGTGTTGGAGTAGATGTGGAAATGGGGTGTTTTGGGGGACAGGGACATGTCTGTGTATGTGCCGAAGGAATATTTATATACATTGAAGGTATATATGTGTGGGGTTTGTGTGGGGTTTGTGTGTGGATGAGAATGTGCAGGGCGTGGATCTTTGTGTAGTAGGTACATCTGGGGGTAGAGGAAAGTGTGAGTGTGGGCATGTGTAGAAATCTGTGTAGATGTGGGGTACAGATGTGGAGTGTCTAGAGGTATACGGGTCTGTGGACATGTGCACAGGGGAGACTACCTGTGTGGAGTGTGTATGGAGCAGTGTGGGAGTATATATAGGTGAGGGGTCTGTGGATGTGGCTGTAAGGGTCTATAAGTGTATGGGTATGTGTATGTGCTTGTGGGGGGTGAGAGAAATAACTGTATGTGTGCAGACATGGGAGGGTATGTGGGTGTGTGGATATATGATTAGCTAGAAGGAATACGGGTGGATGGGTAGGGATGAGGACAGGACACTAGAAAATTAATGGACTCTCCAAAGCTCAGCCAAGCACAAGCCTAGAAGCAGAGATCTGGCTTCAGACCCCAGAGAAGGTGTGAAGTTTGACCTGAATTTCCAATGGCATCTCAACATTCCAGGAAAGGACCTATGGAAGCCGGGAAGCTCCCAGCCCTTGGGCAGGGGCCATGGGATAACGACATTGTGACTATGCTTGTTAGCACTAGCTAGAGAACCCAGGTGGCCTGCTTTTAACTCCTCAGCATTCTGAAACTCCCTCCCTGAGAACCCAGGCTTCCCTCTAGGCCTCCAGCTGGGAACCATACCTAGTACCCCAACCCGATAGTTGAGGGTGATGACGATGACATTGCCATAACTGGCCAGGACGCTGCCATCAATCATGTTGCCCGTGCCTTCCATGTAAGAGCCTCCGTGGATGTAGACCATGACGGGCTTAGCGCCGCTGTCCCGGATGTCTGCAAGGAGAAGGGGTGAGACGCGGGCTGGGTAAGCTGCCCGTCCTCCCCCACCCCCGCCAGCCCTGGGGGGGTGCGGGAAGCAAAGCTATCCCAGGTGCCAGGACACCACCACCTGCTCTGAGGGCGGGACTCATCCGGCGCTCAGCCTGGAGCTCAAGCATTGGCCAGAGACAGTTTGACTTCAGTGATGTTTTTAAAGACTCTGGTTTCAAGTGCCTCCCAGCTCAAGGCAGCCAGGCATGCCTGGTACAGCTGGGCCTAGAGAGGCAGTGGCTTGGCCCTGGGGACAGGGAGCAGGAGGAAGAGGAAGGGCTGGTCCCTTAGCTGGATCAGTGAGTCCCTGCCCTGGGCACCCAGGAGTCCTGGGACCTGACATGGCTTTAGAGAGCAGGGACGGGGGAGCCCTGAAACCCCCGAGACTAGACCAGTTACATGGAAATACGGCCATTGGCAGCAGCTGGCCCCCCAGTGCAGACAGAGACAAGAGGGGTGGGAATCAGGGGTGGCACAGGGAGAGAACAAGGGAGAATGTGGGGACAGGGGAGTGAATGGCAGAGATGGGGTGGAGGGGACCTTACTGACATGGTTTCTCAGCCATGTGCTCGTTTACCCCATTCTACCCGGGCATCAGGCTGACTTAACTGGCAACGCTGGGGATGGAGAAGAGGAGGGGGCAGAACTAAGAACGAGAGAGCCTCCCCCAGTCAGCATTAAGATGAAGATGGTGCCTCCACAGAGGCTATTCAACCACGGACCTTTAAGCGGCCGCTCCCAAGCCCCAGGCAGGGAGGCATCAGGGTGGGGCGGCCACTAGAAGGCTCCCAGCCTGATCACCTTGACCTGCAGCCTCCCAGTCTGTGCGTTGGACCAACACTCTGCCACACCAGCACAGCCCTTCCAGCCACCAGTGGGCCCCCCTGAGCTGTCTGGCCCCCGGGGCAGGGCCAGGGCCTGGAGGTAGAACGGAATGCTCTCTGCTGCCGAGCAAACGCCACCTGTTTTCCCAAGGAGGAAGGAAGGCTGGTTCCACTGTCACCCAAGGATCTTATGCCATCCACGGACTGGGCTGCGGTGTCCTGGCCTCAGCTTGGCGTGGCAGCCCAGTCCTTCGAGCCCTGTCCTGAACTTATTGCAGCCCCTGGCCCCCAGGCCATCTCTAGCTTTCTGGGAGAAGGCTGAGGAGGTTCTAGGTGGCGCTGTGCCCCAGCCCCTTCAGTGGTCACTGCCTCCCTCCTCAGTTCAACCGCCTGCTGGGCCCCTCTCCCAGGAGCCAGTCTCCCCACAAAACACAGGTGTCTCCTCAATGAGAGAAACACAGGCTTCTCCTTGCCATCCAGTTTCCTTTGTGCCTCTCTTTGCCCTCCCTCAGCCCTGCTTTCTCTCCACTCTCCATGCTGCTCGGTAGGGGCAGGTGCCCGTGAACCACAGAAGATGGAGGAGGAAGCTGTCTCCAGGCAGTGCTAGTGGAGGACCCGGGCGAGGAGGATGCCCTCCCCATGGCTCTGCTCATGGTCCCCTGCTCCCCCCAGCCGTGTCCATCACCCTGGAACTCCCCGTGGCCAACCAGGCCAAAGATGGATGAATAGCCCAACGGCCTTGTACAGGAACAGAAACACACCAACGGACGGACAGACAGACAGACGGGGCTTCTCCCCATCGAGAGGGGGAGGGGCTCTGTGCCATGCACCAGCCGCCGCGCCCTGCAGCCCCCAAATACCTTCATCTTCATCCCCGTCATTATCCGCTAAGTCCTCGCCCTGTTTCTTAGCGCCGGATCCTGGGGACCAGACACGGGGAGACACAACAGCACAGAACAGAGAACAAAACAGAGAGAGAATTCAAAAACAGCATGATTGCAGTGTGGCCCAGCAAGCCAGCTCTGGGCCTGGGCCCAGGACAGGCAGGAGGGATGGCAAGAACTGAGGGAATGGGTGGGCTGAGGCCCAGACCTTCATCAGGATGATGGTGTTGCAGGCCCCTGCTGTGCCGGCCTCCCTGCACCTCCCTGTCCCCCCGCCCTGTCCCCAACAGCCCATCTCAACCAACTACCTTCCCAGCTGGGAAGGAGGTAGCAGTGGGTGGGCCCAGGCACAGAGCCAGAGACCCACTCGGGGAAAGGACTTCTCCCGGGTGGAAGAGGCTGCACGTGTGTACACAGGCCGGCCGAGCTGGAGAGCAGGGGCAGGCACCGAAGGTGAGAGGCGGCGTGGCCAGCACGTGTAGATATGGATGTGGGCTATTGGGGCAGAGCCTAGGATCCCAGCCCTGAGCTACCTGGGCCCAGTGGGCGGGCTCAAGCTGGGCCTCAGCTGACCCTGATTCCCACAGGAGGAAATGGGAGATGAATATTTCCCTCTGGTCTTCCTCGCTGGGGCCTGCTCTGGGTAATGGCAAATGGGGTTCCTGCCCACAGGAACCAGGCCTGAGAGCAGCAAGCATTGCTCTGAGATCTAAAGAGAGCCAGAGAGGGAGGGAGAGAGGGAGAGAAGAAAGGGGAAAAGGAGAAAGGGGCATATGAGAGAGAGAGAGAGAGAGAGAGAGGAACAGAAAGATAGGAATAATGGTAGTAGCTCCTACCATGTACCGAATAGTTACCATGTGCCCAACACTACTTCTGCCATATTGTTTGATCCTTACACCCCAGTGAGGAATATACTATCTTTATTCCTGTTTCACTGATGGGGAAACTGAGGTTCAGAGAGGTAAAGTGACTTGCTTCAGATCTCACAGCTAGGAGGTGCTAGAGGTGAGATTCGAACCCAGGTCTGCTTGATTCCAAAGCCCATGGTCTTTCCACTGCATCATGCTACCCTTCTGGGATGGGGGAGAGGGAAGGGGAAAAATCAGGCAGGAAAGAGGTGGAGCATGGAGGGGAGGGGAGGAAAGGAGAGAAAAGAAGAGACTAGAGAAGAGAGACCTTTAGGACCCGCGGGTGAGCTGGCACCAATTTGCCTTCCTGGTCTAAGGAGACGAGAATGGCTTTGAGAAAGAGGACCCACTGCCTGGATGCTGGTCAGTGTTTGGAAACAGAGCTCATTCTGCTGGCACCCTGGGGCTTCTACCTTCTTGCCTGTGACACCAGATACTCTCAGCCCGGAGGCAGCAAATAGCCCTCTTTCTCAGCTGGTCTGGGTTCCTGTGACTGAATTCCCTTACAGCTATTAATCAAAACAGAAGCCGCCCTCATATTACAAAATGGCTTTTCAACTAGGGCAAGAGCCCAGCCTGAGGGGCAGAAACTGCCTCCTAGCTTCCCGCACCTCCAGTGGCACCTACTGTCCTCACACTTGCCGACGGTACTGCCCTCTGAAACTCCAGGGGACTTGGGGCATCATCACTCACCCAGTGGACAGCCCCCCAGCAAATGGAAAGGAATCACTCATCCTGAAACACGAATTCCCTTCAACTTGATGGGGATGAAGGTTAGGGGGGACAGGACACATCTTCAACTCCCCTGGGCCCTAACTTTGAAGCTGCGTCCCTCTTGCCCCACTTTAGGAGGGTCCCCGGGTTGCTGCCTGCCTTGTCTCAGCCTCCTCCACACAGATGCCTTTGCTCCCTTGGCTTAGCACTCCTTCAGCAACTGCTTGCGGCCATGCCTGTCTCCCAGGCTAGTTCAACAACCGTCCCTCATCCCAGCGCTGGGCTGCTGCTGCAGGGTCCCTGTCTGCCCTGTGCCTACCACAACCCTCACTGCCTCTGGGGCGGGTCTCCCTGCACCTCCCAGGAGGCAGGCTTTTTAAGTCTGTTCCAAATGGCCTACAGGCCCTGGATAGAGAACAAATTGGAACAGCTAAGTGGCCAGATCCCCTTTTCCATGCTGTCTGGAACCCACTTCCCAGCTCGGGCTGTGGGGCTTAGCTAAACTAGGCTAGGAACTTTGGCAGAGTAGCAATCAGCTCTTTAGTTATTTCTAACTCTTTTTCTCTCCTTCCCATCCCTCCACATCTCAACAATACCTAGCACATGGCCTTGCCCATAGTCAACAATCATGATTGGTAAATGTTTGGATTTGGAGCTTCCTGTCAGCTCTCTAGGCAAACTCTCTGGACTGGACTTAGGTTCTGGCGCCAGGGGCTGGGGTAGGGGAAGGGCTCATTGCTCCTAGGAACTGGTTGCGGTGAAGGGCACCTCCTCACCTCTGCGCCCAAGTAAGTCACTCATAGGAGCAGGTTGAGGACACCCTCTTCCTGGACTCATGTCTAGGTTAATGGAATGTTAAGACCAGAATCGTCTCCTACCACCTTCCGATGCGGAAACAGAGGTTCTCAAAGGAAAAGACGTGCCTAAGGTTTCCCCATGAGTTAGCGGCAGGGCTGGGACTCAGTCAAGCTAGTGGCTTCCAGACCCAGACTCTTTTTGCAGCATCACAATATTTCATTCGTGCGAAAACGTGTTTACTGATTGCCTCTTGAGTGTGAGGTCCTGGGCTGGGTGCCGGGAGGTGATGGACCACTTATCCTCAGGGCAGCAGACCTCACTCAAAGCTTCTGGATGCATTGAAAGCACTCAGTGCACCTGCTCGACACGCAGATTGCCAGGCTCAGTCCCCAGAGATTCTTACTCAATAGGGAGCATCCAGCCCCAGGAATCCTGACAACCCCATTTGGGGAACCCTGCCCCTACTATTTCAAAGGAAAACAAACTGCAAGCTTGCCAAAGGGTTATAGGGACCAGGCTGTGATCTTCCACCTGTTCTTGAGTCTGTTTCTGTTTCCAATTCGACCTAACCCATCCACATTTCACCATTTGTTTCAGAGTCAGGGAGGTGGGAATGACCAGATGAGAGTGGCCTCACATGCTACAGTGGAAAGAACGTCACCCTGAGGGTCACGAGACCCAGGTTTGGGTCCCGGCCCTGCCACAGACCAGCGACTGGGGCCTTGAGCAGCAGCAAGTCACTCTCCTGGGCCTGTTTCCGCATCTGTAAATTGGGATATCAATGCCTTCCTCATAAGCTTCCAGAGATGTGGAGAGGATTTTCTGAGCTAAGTAGGCAAGTGCTTTGCAGAAACCATAAAGGGGGATTTGAACAGGGGGCACAAATTCCTCCCAGCAAGAGGGTGAATTTGAAATTCAGGATCGCATGCATCCTGTAGAGTCCACAGCTCCCCAGAAACCCCCAAGGTCTGCCACCAGACTAGCCCAGCTCAGCTATGCCATGGTCAGAGGTGGTGGGCGGAGTCGGGGGGGCAGCGTTACTAACACCTGGGTGGTTTGGTCTCAGCTCCAGGGCTGGAGAGTTGAATCTCCACTTTGTCCCCAGGAAAGAGCACGAGAGGATGAGCTGGTGGCTCCTTCACCCGGAAAAAGGTCGGAGCCTCTGGCTCCATCTTGGCGGCCTAGAGTTTCTCCTGAGGTGTCCCGGAGAGAACCTCTGGCTCTCTCTTTAACATACACTTTAGGGTGTAATTTGGGGCTGGGGAGGTTGGAAGAAATGGGGTGGTTGCTTCTGCTCTGAATCTGACTTAGGCCACCAGATCCTCCCTGAAGAGCAGCCGGGCCCCTGGCGGAGGTGGAGCTTATGCCTGCTCACCGACCGCCCCCTTAGCCCGGGCTACTTGAAGGAAGGCTGGGTCTTCA